CGGCTGCCAGCTGGAGGAAGCCCTCCCCTCTGCAGGTCCGGGGGCCAGAGACCGGCACAGAGCCACGCAGGAGGGCACATGGGGAAATGGGTCCGCGCAGCTGTCTGTGGGTGGGGGAGTCTGAGAACGCACGGTGGTGGAAGGAGCTCTCTGTGCCTTGAGTCGCTCAATGCACGCAGCAGAGCAGACCAGCGTTTAGCCATGATGATAACAAAAGACATAAGCTGGGAAATGAAAGCAGGGGTTACTTACTCGTTGTCGACATTGTTATTCTCTGGGTCTGGCAGGCTTCTTGTCGTTAAGGCCTTGAAAAGAACAAATGTCAGAGCATCATATATTTCAATGACATTACTTTAAAGTTACCTTTGTCTATAATGGGCCATATCTGCACTGGTTTACACCCCTGATCACCCTCTGTGAAAACAATACAGGTGTAAGCGAGCCCCCTGCATTAACAACAGTGTTCTAACTCTGTTTTAGCATCCAAGGCACCTGAACGGCTTCCGGCCATTGGACTGAAATCACTGCATGTTACCTGACTAAACTTCTAATTTTCCTGTGACTATGCACTACACAGATCTGTAGGTAGCAGTATAAAAAGACTCGGTAGTGAAGTAAGTTTTGGGAGTGTGGACCTGACTCTTCATCTGACAAGTCAGTGTTCCTGCTGTAAAGCACTCACAGTGCACCAACCCCGATGGCTGTGGAAATGATCCCGCCTGGAGGTGAAATATCCACATTTCATATGCTGCAATCCTACAGCTGTCCACTGGGAGACCAATGGGGCCAGCCAAAACCAAATCTAGTGGTATTTAAATGGAAAAATTATCAGACCTTGGGCCCACTTGAGGCCACTGAATCAAATCAGTAACAAAATGAAACCACTGCAGCCAGGCCAAATGCAAATGCTACCGAAAAAATATCACTGTCATCTTTCTGGGCTTCTTTATTGTGTATTCTCATGGAGGGGGAGGTGGAGGGGTGATGACCATGGCTTTGCACATAACCAGGCCCGTTTTGACTTGCCGTTATTTTTTCTAAGCTGTCCTTCTTTTCCTCGTCTTGTTTTTTTTTGTGCAGTCCTGAATCTGGTGGGCCTCATTAATACAGGTTATCTTCCTTCTCATGATGACACTAACAGGCATTAAATGGGCAATCAGCAAAATGAAAGTAAGGCACTGGCACCCAGAAAGTAAAAGAGAAAAGTTGTTTCAACAGCATGGAAGAGAGGAGAAGATTGTTTTTCCGCACAAAAAAGGGGAAGTAAAGGCAACGGAGCAGGGTGGAACAACTGCAACTGCCTGATTTTAATTGGAGGGACGATATTTTCACTACACTTGCTCTTTAGCTGCTGCTCACGCAGATAGCCTGGAGCTGAGGCTTAAACTAGAACTGGCGCAGATACTGAGAGGCAGGTAGACCCTTGGCAGCAAACTTCAACTCTCCCGTTTCTTAGGTGGGTTTTGTGCTGCCACGATCACCTCCGGATCCCCTGCTCGAGCCGGTGAGTGGGACTGCAGCAGACATCTCTCTGAAGGCATGGGTTGGAGCCCCTTCTAGCTGGGCTCCAAGCACTGTCCATTTCTGCAGCTGAGAAAGGTATCTGCTTTCTACGTTCTTTCACATCCCAGCTGCTTGCTTAAACTGCAAACTAAATTTATACCAAAGACCTACAGCATCTTTTGATGCCTTTCAAACCCCAGCGCACCTCCTTTCAGAGAAGCCCCCGCTCTTTGGCAACAAATTTGTTTTCTCTGGAATAGCCTGAACTGTTCCAGAAATAGCTCCTTGGATCAAAGCGGCGATGAGGCTATGTGAGAAAGCTGACGGGGAATAAATAGAGTTCCCTTCTGGTTATTTAGTATCATTTCTTGGCAATCTCCCATGACTGACAAAAGCAAGCCGTAGTCCCTCGCTGCGATGCCAGGAGGGAAGCAGCGCTGAGCTCCTCTGGCCAGCTCCTGGGAGTGCACCCAGCCGGGCAGCGCGACCCTCGCCCCGGCCCAGCCCCTTTTCTCCACCGGGCAAATCACAGCATTCACCCTGAGCGCTGCGGGGAGCAGCGCTGTCGAGCAGCGCTTTGATTCTGCTCTTCCTGCAGTGAGAACCCATCTTCCAGCACTTCTCGGCAAAGGATGGGTTCGGATCATTTTAAGGAGGGGTTTGAATTGTACAGTAGGTTGCCTTTCCCCCCCCCCCCCCCCCGGGGCCGCCCTCCACATTACGAGCTGTACGTGGTGTGTGGGTGGAAGACAGAATTAATTAGTCATCAGGACAGAGCAGCTCTGGTTAGCAAAATCTGCTTCTCTGTGCAAAACTAGCTCCCACCTTCTCCAAGGGATCTGTCAGCAACAACACTTATTTCCCAAGAGAACGCCGCATTGGCACAGGTAGATCTCAACTGACATTTTAATCTAGTGCATCAAGAAAAACTGTGGGAGAGTGAAAATCAAGGCAACTCCAGTCTATGCTTTTCCACCTCCATCAAAATCTCCATGTTTCAGGAGCTGTTTCTAATTGATCCAAGACAGGCCAGCAATGCAGAGACTCGAGATGACAAAGCGACACGGTGATGCAAGTGACCGGCAGGATGTGGAGCACGGCATGTCGCATGGCGTTAGACATAATGAACCCAACCCCACCCCGCCTGCTCAGGATTGCTGTAACATCTATGTTGCAAGTTCAGCAGATAATTAGTTTTAGTCCTTTATGCGGGTTAATATGATACACACTTCACAATACTTTAATATTAGTGGGCTCCTAGCCTGCAGCTAAACGGGTAATCGCTGGCCTGTTTGGCCAAGCTGCTGTTAAGAGATAAATGAAGTCAGCTTCTCACTTCCGCAGCTTGCAGTCATCTTTTTATTACTCATCCAGGCCACAGTGTGGCTCCTGGCTTTCCACCCTGTTCCTACCTTCGGCACCTAGTGCTGGGGTTTGTTGTGACACGAAGCAGTGCAGCCGCAGAGCGAGGACCGACGTGTCCCCTCGTGCATCCCTGATCTCACGTGGGCCCGGGCGGCACCCAATGCAAGTGCAATGGCTCAAGGGGCTCATGCCCCTCGCTGCCCCTCTGCTGCGCGGTGCACCACTTGCACAGGGATGGCTGAGCTGCATATGAAATAGCTCCTGAACTGCTTCAGTTTAAGGGCTGGGATATTAAATTCACCCAAGATTTCGGTTTAATTTAACATGAGGAAATGTGAGCTACAGTGGTCTAAACGCTGTTGTACATACAAGTACAGCCCCCAGGAGCAAGGCAGGGTAGAGGGCTGGTGGTAGGAGCTATTGCTCTCTGCTGGTGCACGAGTCAATGCTCTCGGGGGCGCAGGGTGCTGCCACGCTTAAGCCAGGGTGAGCGGTGGCCCCCTGAGGCGGTCCTGCCGCCCCTTCCACCCTGGTTCCCAGCCGTCCCCTTTTATCGCACCTGGTAATCGCACAGCGAGGCTGAGTTGGCCCTGCAGAAAGCCCCGTCTCTGGGATCACGAGGTTGATGTGTACTTGCACAGCTGCACATCTTCAGCAGCTCCGAGCAGCCCCTCCGGGCTATGTCGAAACCAGTGAACTTTAAGGTACTGTGACTCAACTGTAAAAATACCATAGCCTCCAAAACTGGCCAAATTCACGCTGCCTATCTCAGAGGGCCCTGGCCCTGTGCTGTTCCCTGAACCATGCCTGAGCATTATTTGGGAGAGTGGCCCAGGCCAAAACCATGCCAGGGACCGCTCCAGAATGCAGCTGGGCAGACCACGAGGGCCGGTGGCCGGCAGCCGGGCAGCCACTGCCATCCAGTTTACCAGTACAGACATAGCCCTGAGGCCCTGAGTAGCCCATCGTGTATGGGGGAGCCTACAGAGACCCGCAACACCTGCAGCGGAGTGTGGTTACCGCCGAGGAGGCTCATCCCACTTGCATGGTGTCACTGAAGCTAGCACAGGCTGCGGTTTCGTAATGCGATGCTTGAGTGGGAGCGCCGATCTCTGGCACAGCCACCTTCCCCGTTCCCTCTTTACATACATTCATCCCTACTCCCATGTCACAGCCTGCCCCATCCTCAGCGGGCCAGCCCAACTGCTCGTAGGAGCGCTCTGCAAACCGGAGCTGGGGCCCTATCTGAGCTGAAATTAAAAACACGCCCTTCGGAGGGCGATCCAGTTCACAGGACAGTTCAGATGGCTGTGCTGGTGCAACAGCAGGGCAGCACCCTCCAACGACCTCGATGCGGGTGGCTAAGCCAGTTATCCCTGCTGAAGACAATGCTGCATGAACCCACAGCTGGAGTTATCACGGGCAAAAATCTAGCTTAGGTAATGCGTAAGGAGGTACAAAATGGGAAGTAGAGCCCCAGCTGAATCCCAGGCAGGCAAAGTACCGTGTGCTTGCACAGCAGCACCTTGCTCCAGCCTGCAGCAGCATCCTCTGGCCAGCAAAGGAACTGGTAACTAGTCGAGGAAGGTAGCTGGGAGGAATGTGCAGTGTTCCCACACTCTTCTTCCCCAGGCAAATAAAATACCAACTTTTGGCTATTCCGTGCATGCCCCATGTCTATTTGAGGTCAGAAACGGTTTGGGGACAGAAGTGACCCACACTCTCCACAGAGTGATGCTGGGGAAAAAAACTACCTATGCAGCAGTCTTCTAGGTCCAGGTGCAACGCAGCTGTGCTGGGAGGGTGACAAGCTCTGAAAGCGCCATCGACACTGGGATGGGGGGACAGCACTGTTTGCCGGGCTTTCCTGAATATTTGGACTCTCTTAAAAAGAGAAGGAGCACTAAAGTTAAAGAGAGAGAGACCTTTCGCTTGGTAACTGCCAGAGCCACATCTGGAAATTACCTGCAGAGCTGCAGAATCTGAACTGCTCTGACTTTCTTTGGGTTTTTCATGCAGCTGCTCTCCTAGCCCTAATCTGAAGTTCCCAAAGTCCCAGATGTGAAGGTGGAAAAGACCTTGACTTAAGTCGCCCCGGCCAGTGGAGAACTACATCCTACACGTTTTTTCCTCTGAGTCAGGAATGAGAATGTCCTGACCCAAGGGCATTTTTGACCATTAATACAAACAGGAAGAAAATGCTGAAATAAATTGCGAACAGCACTGAATTAGAAAGATCATATTTCTGTAGTGGAAAGCCTATTTTAATGACAGTATGAAAAAAAAATCTATTTGAGTTCCTGTAAGGAGTTAATGTGTTATGAAATTAAACCCACGCAACCCTGTAGATGTTTGCAATGTGGCCTGGCATCCAGCCCCTCTCCAAGAAGGAGGGAGATGAGCCGGGCCAGCCAGCCACGAGGTGACGCTGCACCACGCAGATCTGCGGAAAGCACACTTATCTGGCTGAGAAACACAGGCAAAGCTTTGAAGACTTACCCAGTATTTTGAAAATATATGCCCTCCCCTCTAAACCCTCTAGAGTACAGCTAATACACTCTTGTCTGTGTTATTCCAGCACTACGGCAGGGGTGATTGAGTTACTGTAATCACATTCGGTCTCCAGTAAGAAGGGGTGACAGCACTGTGGAAAAAGCCACTAAAAGCAAGACCTTAGCATGTCTGCGTGATTTTCCGTTTCAGGAAACCAGTGGTGAAATGACTGAGGCCACGGCTTCTCTCCTGCTCTCCACAGAGAGCCGCCACCCTGTTCTGTGCTGTGGAAGCATTTGCAAAACCGCAAGTATTTTCTTCTGCATTGAGCAAAGAAACAAAAAAAAAAATAGCATGTAAAATCATCCGCCTCCCGAGGGGGGAGCTGGAATCACAGGCAAACCTGAAAATGAACGTTTGATGCTGATAGGAGGTGTGGGGTCTGCTCCAAACTGGGCTCAGGTTCCCCATCAGGGTATGGATCCCAGCCCACTGCTGAGAAGTGCTTTTACACTTCTCACTCCAAAGCGCTATTTGAATGTACTGGAGTTGGCTCAAGACTTTAAATACAGCAGTTTCCCTTTCAGCAGCCCTTGCCATCTGGCTTGGCTACAGGTCAGTGTTGCCAGCTTTCTGCTGGATGACAAAGCGCATCAAAGTCCCGGTGCAAACACGCACATTGATGCAAATCACACGCAGGGTAACTCCAACAACTACACCAAAGAGCTGGCCCCTTCTCGCAGGCAACCTCCCTTCTTTGCTGGCAGGTGGAATACCTCTCCTCTTAACCTGGCCCAAACTTTTACCTCTCCTGGCCTTGTGAGCCCTGAGCTCAGTGCATGGGATCCGCACGTTCACTGCTTATTTCTCATCTCACTTTCCTACTGTGCTGCCATCTCATTGCCTTTCCTCGTTTCCTGCATTTCCTTTCCCTCATTTTTTCCCCACTAGTTTTGTTGAATCAACCTGCCCTTCTTCCCTCACCAATACTCCTCTTTGTCCTTCCCGTGGTTTGCACAGATGAGTAGGGTAAGAGAAGGAAGTTCCCAGCATGTGACAGCAAGTACAAATTACTGGCTGAGAAGCTGGCAAGATCAAACTGCCCTCAAAACTTCTAGTAAGGAACTAGTGACGCAAGAACCTCATATCCCTTTCCAGAAACCTTCTGTGCTGTCCTCCTGGGACGGGTGGGACTGCAGTTTGCACAATGACCTAAAAATCTAAACTGCATCCAGTAAACAATCAAACCTTTGTGTTGTGAACAGCTTCATCCCTCCTTCTTACAGGATAGTGACTTCTTAGGCCTCAAGGAGCCCGAACTATAAGCCATGACTGCTCTCTGAACTGGACCATGGCAACCTCAGATTCAGGTGGGGAAAATACTACTAAGAATAGCTTCAGTTTTGGCCAGAAAATGTCCCTAATCTTTTTCTTCTATGTCTTTGCAAAACACTGGTAATTCTTTGCTGTCTTTCAAACAGCTTCTCTATTGCAAGTGAAAGAGTACTTTTTTCAACAGCTTCAACGTGACTGGGGCACCTAAGGCTGTCTATACAATCTGGGTAATACCTTTGGGGCTGGAGTAACTTGTGTAATAATATATGAAATAGAGTAGCTACTCGCTACCTACTAACAGTGCACGTGCAGCCTTGCAACTTACTGGGGAGTTTCTCGTTGCTGGCTGGTAGCTCTCCCTCTCAGCAGAATGCAAGCTTTAAACCAAAAACAGGTTTGGCACAGTTAAGGCCAAAAAAGCATGCCTGGGGCCAACCCGACTATCTGCCTCAGGCACGGCTCAT